GGAGCTCAACGCAAAGTCGAACGACGTCGGCCTGTTCAGATTTGCCCTCGACCTCATGCTGTCTTCCCGGACCGCCTGAATTTCTTTCGCGTCTGAGGAGGACTCGGCCATCGCTACGGTCACCGTCTTGGAGACCGCTTGGCTGCTCCCCGTCTGTGCGCCAGTGCTCCTCGCCAGAGCTCCGGTGCTCCTCGCCCTCTCAAGAGAATCGCGTTTTGGGGACACCGCGAACCGTACTCGTTTCGATGACAACGGATTCTAGTGCATAAGAATATATCAGGCAAATATAAATAAGGGAGAATGTCTGAAAAATAGGTTTCCCAGCAGGAAACTTACGAGTCTGCGCAGAAACTTCATAGTTTCGTTGTTCGGGGAAACTTCACCAATTAATCACCAAAGGAAACTCGGTTTTATATAGATTTCCCAGTGTGCACTCTGAATTTATAATCAGAATACGGCACCACTTTTATTGTTCAAGCCTCTTCAAGGTATCCACCAAGGTCACAATCAATTTGCTCATATATTCTTTGCGATGCACACACAGAGGGTGATTACAGCGACGAGGAGTTGAGCTTTCACGAAGGGCTTGTTCGCGGAATGGTCTGCGCGCTTCCGAATTCATGTCTCGCCAAATGAGATTCGCGACCTCAAAGGCTCGATGGAAACGAAGACGATTGCGACGCCGGACTAAGCGAGCAAACTGACGGAAACCATCCCTCGGTTCCCTCTGGCTCTCACTGGACTGGGAAGTCTCGTCAATCACTATCGGCTGCTGTGAATCGCCCGTCTCGGAACCTGTCATCGCACTGCCAACAACACTCTCAGGAAACTCGCTGGATGAATCCAAAATCCAGGTGTCACTCTCGCTGCACACCGATGGAGGAGAGGTAATACGATCCATGCTTAGAAACGTTTCCTAACACTGAGAGATGATGAGTAAGCTTTGCTCATCTGATAATTGAACTTTATACTCGCACCTCTCTTCCTCATCCCTGTGAACTACTTTGTTTCATTACGCAGTAAGGGAGAAAATGTTGGGATAAATGAGTGCTACTGACTAATTGCTTCAAGTATTTCACTGGTAATAGCGTTCTTTCGGTTACGCTTGTTAATCACCGCGTTGCTTATGTTCACCAGAGCAATTCGATGTAATTGGATGAAGTTGGATATAATGATCGTCAGTGTTCTTTTGTCTAAAATAGCCCTTTGCCTCCCTATATAAGCTGTCTGAAGTAAAGTGTTAAATACAGATCAGTCTGTCACCCGCATCCAGTTGCCTTGTTATTCTAGAGACCTGCTTCCCTAGACTTCACCCGCTCCGCTGCTGCTCCAATCGCCGTGCTACCCAACTTCAACTCATCCGAACTGAGCCCCTGCCGACTGAAACCCACTCAGTGTGCTCAATACAGGACAACTCCTAACAGGGTTTTGCCAACAAAAACATCATCGATGAGAAGACAGAATCGCCGTTGCGCTGGAAAAGCTGCAGCAGCTTCATCCACCTCGTCGTGAGCACCAAGGAGTCCATCGACAGGATGGAGGAACGCCAGAGACCGAGCCAGCTCGCCGAAGGAGGACCCGGGAGCACCGAACTGCACGCGCTCGACGGCCACGAGGAGTGATGATGGTAAAAAGACGGCGCGGCTGGCCGGCGGATGCAGACACAACAGTGTTCCCGCTTAACTGGCGGCGCAGTCGGAGCGGTCCCTCTCCCCACGGTTCGGCGCATGCGCGGGCGGCCTAGGTACTGAACGGCTTCCCCGGATGACATCACTCTTCCGCTCGTCTCTTAGCGGCGAAGAAGAGTGACAAGCTGGATCGAAAAGATCGAAGTATTAGGTTGTAATATAGTAGAGAATATTGTTTAAAGTGATCAGTGAGCACTCGCGGCGGAGTTGCGGCCTTCTGTCGCCCGATCCCCCGTCCTGGGAGACCATTCGGTGAGTAGGGTAACAGAGCTGTGATAACCACCTGTGATATTCCGATTTTCGGGCATAACCCGAGAACGGCACTTTTCTCGAAAAGACCGTGGAGACTGAATAGTCTGGGATTGATCCCACGGACCTAAAGCAAGTGGAAAAATATAGGGGTTAATTAGGGAATTCTTTCGAAAATTTCCAAAAAAAATTCAAGTCGATTATCTCGGCTCCCGGGCATCCCCCAGACCCGTCTTCGCCAGTTTACCGGCAGGGACTTCCCTCCCTGTATTAACCGGGGACGAGAAATTCAGATTTCGGGTTTTCAAGACCCTAGGGGTCATATTTCAGATAGTGACCTTCAGAAGGTCAAACCAAGTTAGACCCGGTTTCGGATTCCAGGGGGTCTGGGGAAACCCATACCGTCGAAAGAATTCAGATCGGCTCGCTGTTTACAGAGATACTCGGATCCTAAGTTGAATTTTTTCAGCTCGCCCAAAAGTTACCAGTATTGATTTTCCCCCGCAAATAAACCTGCGGTTGTGGTAGAGGTCAGGTTAGGTTAGGTTGCAGCATCGGCATTCTCCGAGAGCCTGAAAGAAAAGGCCCAGGGAGTGGGGGCTGAAGTCAGACTCGTTGCAAGCACCATGGTGCTGGCGATACGAGGCCTAGACGCCACGGTCGAAACCTACGAAGTTGCTGGAGCACCGAGGGAGGCAGGTGTTCACGACCAAGTGACAATAAACCTCGGGGAGCTGAAAGATGGATGGACGGGCCGGAGGACGGCAATGGTTCGGCTGCCTCAACCGCAGGGACAACGCCTCCTTCAAAGGGGCGTGCTCGTCGTCGGATGGGCCAAGTGCCGCGCCAAGGTCACCCTATTCGGGCAGGAGACATGCTGTTTCAACTGCCAGAAATTCGGGCACATCGCACGAGATTGCACGGAGCCGGCCAACGCGCAGAAGAAATGCTACAGGTGTGGTAGTGGCGACCACATCGCAAAGGATGCAGCGCACCGATGAAATGCTACGTCTGCGGAGAGGAGGGACACAGGGCCGACTGGGCCAGATGCCCGAAGAGAACCCTGAAGCAGACCGATGTCGCCCGGGAGCCAGGGCCATCGAGGCAGAAGAGGGAGAGGAGGAGAGCCCAAGAAGTACAATACTTTGAACGAGAGGAACAGATGAACGAAGAAGCTGCAAGGGAGGAGGAGGCGATGATTGTCGAAGAGACTGGGGGCAGCAACGAACAGCCCAAGATGGTCAAGGCCCTCCAGATCAAGGCCATGTGGTGGGCTGGAGAGTCCTCGATTTCGAGAGCCTAAGTGACCATCGCTACGTAGAGTTCAGAATCCTGCCGACAACAGGGATCGACAACAACACCAAAGAGAGACGCTGTGCATGGAAGTGGAATCCCCAGAAACTTGACCTCGAAAAGGCCAAGGAGTACATACGGGAGGAGAGCAACGGAGGAACAAGAGTGGACACAGTGGAAGACCTGGCGAGACTACTCGAGAATGCGTGCGAAAAAGCCGCTAGAGGAAGACCACCGGGCAGCAGCCGGAGGCGGGAAACCAAGTATTGGTGGTGATAGAAGGATCTGCGCATGATCGCCAGCCTCGCGCGTCGTTATCCGGAGGGCTATATAAAGAGTCGCGGGGGGAATAAAGATCATCGATGTATGGCAGATACAACGAAGTGTCATACCTATAAACTTATAGGTTATGGGCCCAGTTACCAGAAGTGGCAAGAAAAATCTTGCGAGCCGAAGCGAGACAACGACAAATTCCACTGTGGAGAACATGGACACTCTACTCGGATTAGGAACTGAAATCCCGAGAAAACGCTGTCGAACCAACACTGATGGTGAGGAAGAACTTCCCCCGAAGTTACCGAGGAGTCATCCCGATGAAAGGGGTCTAGGTCAGTGGTTCCCAACCTTTTTTTCTCGTGGAACCCCTAGGGGCTCAACAGCGGTTCCATAGGGGTTCCACGTGTAGACTTTGGGGTTCCACGGGTAGACTTTGGGGTTCCACGGGTAGACTTTGGGGTTCCACGGAATCGTCGATGGAACCCAAGGGTTCCATGGAACCCCGGTTG